TATAATATAATATATATATATATATATATATATATATATATATATATTATATATATATACATATACTATATATATATATATATATATATATATATATATATATAGTATATACATGCATATACATGTATATACAACACATATTTAGTAGATGTATTTCCGTCAAAATCACGTTGATGCAAGTTAAGACTCGGCTCTAATTTTTTGATATGTGTTGTGTATTTGTGAATATTTATGTTGATTATTCTGTAGATAAACATCAATATTCCACTCCACTTAGTATTATACCCATGCACATGAATGCCCCGGTGCCTTCATGTGTACTGTGATTTCCCTTAATGTTCGCTGTCCTATACATACACCATTTCGTCTTACAATCGCGTGTGTGGGTATGCGTTTTAAACCTTCCGAGTTCTATATGCCAATTTTGTTTAAAAATATTTTCCACACCCAGGCCACTCCACATATCCCACGCAAATCTCTGAGATGAAACGCCCCCACGACTGGAACAAACTGTTCCCTTACTGCTGGGCCATCGTAGCCCTCATACTCTTCTCCACCGGGATTGTTGGCTTCCTTGGTTACGGGTCGGCTACCAAGGATATCATCTTCCTGTCCATGGCACCTGACAATGGCATCAGCACCACCGCCGCCGTGTTCTTCTTACTGTATGGCTTATATACCATTCCACTTTGGATTAACGTTTTATTCCAGACGTTTGAACGCCGCTGGGGTATCCCCACACACACACATCGCGGCGAACGGGTGTGCATGTGCGGATTGTCTTTGAATCCGTTCGTCGCACGGCTCATGTTCCGAACTTCCATCCTCGCAGCTCAACTAACCATCGCCCTAGCCATTCCCTATTCTTTTGGGTACCTACAGGCCCTGGTGGGGTCGTGCGCTATAGCGCTGGGGACCTTTATCCTCCCCGCAATCATGTACCGACACTTTAAGAGGAAGCAGCTGGGTATGCGGTCGCTGGGAGGCTTGTACTTTATTATGTTGGTGGGTGGGGTGATACTGGTGTGTGGGACCATTGTGGCGATCATCAATATCGTTAACCATATCAGCGAATATTCTCTGTTCGGGGGCTTTTAGAACAGGGCAGTCGCCTCGGGCAAGGCAGGGCAGTCGCCTCGGGCAAGGCAGGGCAGTCGCCTCGGGCAAGGCAAGGCAGAGTGGAGGTATAGCCTAATGTGAATAAAGTACCGAAGTTTAATTCGCCGGCGTACTGGTCAACGGTATTGTACATGCCACTGCAAGAGGGAGCAGCTAGGCACGAGTTCATTTGTAGCCACATACGTTGTGGTGCTGTTTGGTGGTGCGTTACGCTGGTGTGTGGCATGATATTCGTATCGTGAGCCATATCAACGAGTATTGTCTGCTCGGAGGGGTTTAGTCAGGGGAATCCATGCAGCCGGAGTTGTGGTAGATGTTGGAGTGTACAAGGTTCTCAAACAACATAGCATGCCTCCGCAGTCATATACACACACTTCAAGACGAGACAATTGTACATGTGCTTATTTGCAGCCATGTACTGTATTGTACTGCTTGGTGGGGTCAATCATGCTGATGCATTGTGCAGTTGTAAACAATTGGACATGTGCTTATTTGCAGCCATGTACTGTATTGCACTGCTTGGTGGGGTCAATCATGCCGATGCTTTGTACATTTGGGACAATTGTCAATATGGTGGACTTTTGTTTCTGTTGTGTCCTTCGACAGTTACGTAGGTCATTAGTACGATATGTATATGTTTTCGATTTTTCTGATGCATTATACCTCCTAAATACCATTTGGGAGCGTCTATCTGTAATGTGTATGACAGATTCGTAGCACCCCCTTTATTATATAGTTCTCTGATTCTTGATACCTCTCAAATACCATTTGCCGTTGACTGTTAGTATCGACTACAACATACGTCCTCACCATACTACAGCATGTTGGTCTTCTTTTGTGCTTACAGACGCCTTTCACGTACTATATGCGGGTGTCGCGTTATATCATCTAGGATAAAACTTGAGTATCACATCTGTACATGATCCGTCATTCAGGATAACGGATCTCGTACGGTCTCCGATACCTTTAATATCATCATCTTCGCTTGCAACGATATGTGTTAAATACCATATGTACAAGTTTTGATCGTTTTTTTATTAACTCATTTTATCATCGTCTAAGGCGGACCCTTAGTACCATGTCTATATGTTTCCTCACCTTTCAAGATGGATGATATATTTCATGCACTGTAGGTCAGTGTCTCTGACCTTCATCTACAATACACGTGTTCTTGTCTTTTATAGTCTGCTAGTTTTCTGAGTCACTGTATGTCGGTGTGGCGGCGTATAACGTGCCATCGACACAGCCTATCAATAAGCAATCCAGTCCCATGCGAGCAAGCGATAGGATTCCTTCGGGAAAGCGGAACGATTTTGGCTCTCGCTGAAGCCTGTCAAAAGATGGAAACTTATGAGCTCTCTTGTATATCAATATATAAATATATTTGTATATCAATATGTAAACGTATTTGTATCTATATACAAATG